TATATATATATATATAATCATAAAAAATGATTAATCTTGTATAACTCTTTCGAGGCAGAACAATTTTTGGATATTAAACCGGTAAATTTTCATTCCAATTTATTGAATAATTTATCGCATCTAAATTCGAAAGAGTTAATCAAGAATTAAAATAATATCTTATTATATATTATTTAATGTCCAAGCTTTACAACAAATGGCAAGACAGATTTCTATGAATTTCTAATTTTGCACAAGAAATAGACTGAAAGTACATTACAAGCAGTATCGATAATGAAAATTTATACAAACACATGAACGCAGGATTAAAGAAAAGAAAAACTTTAGAAAAAAAAAACTTTTAATAAGACGACAAATATAAATCGCTGCGTGATAAAATCGACGAACAATTTTTTCTTACACGTTAATTTAAATTATATAACTTAATATCTCGCTATTTCGCTATCTATAAATTTACAGCACGTTACCAATTTATTATTTTCTAGTCATAATCTGGTAATTACACCAGGTCTGCGAGTCTTGTAGTTTTAAGAAGGCCCAAGTAGATTATATAAATTGCGTCGAGTTAACGTGCTGGTAAAACTTAATATTTGGCTTTTATATTTATATCATAAATCTCGGAAATCTCTACGCTTGTGTCATTAAAGAAACATTACTTTCCTTTCATTGTAAATTTAGCTGTAACTAATATATCACCTTTTTCAAGGGCCACGTGAATCATGTATCTTTTGTTTCATGAATATTAAATTATTTCCACGATGGAATTTTAATGCACTAGGTGATTATAAAACGATTTTTAATAATTATCTTTTTCAGCAGCCTTACTTTTACAAATAAAACGACATATACAAGGCAAGTTTAATTATTATTAATACTCTCGAAAGTATTCAATGATTATTTAACGCTATACGATATTAAAGAGATTAAAATGCTATACAAATCTAGTACATAAATGATCGCTAAATAAAATAGTAAATAGTTTAAGAGAACACTGGCTGAAGTACATGATTTATCTATGAACGCGATTAAATTATTTGAAAAAAAGTACGCGAGTTAATTTTAAAAATTTATGTAATTCTCGATAAATGCGATTTTACTGTTCTTTGTAAAATAGGCACAGATGTCATTTTTCACTATACTTTGAATAATACATAAAACTTTATAAAGAGATAAGAGTATATATAGTAAAATGTGATGTTGCATATTTTCTAGATACTTTTACCGCATACAAAATGTATACTAAATTGAAATTGTTACACCGTTATTCGCTTCAACAAGTGATTTATAAAAATAAAATTTTACGTTACTGAACTTTGGATTAAAATTAATTTGTTTACATATGGTAAGTATGCAGCAAATGCCAGATTAAAATACATTTTCATTCAATCTATTAACATTGTGTGTAATTTAACAACGTGAAAATAAATATTATTGCGACTGATTGTCATATACATATTAAAGAAAATGTGAAAATAAAAATACACTTTTTTGAATATAGTTCATAGAAAGAAAATTTATATGAATTTGAATTTAGAAAACACATCTCGAATGTTATTAAAGCAGTAATTAAGAGAAATGTATTTTAGATTTCATTTGTTTAAATTAATAATTACTTCGAACTTTCTCTTTTTTTTTAATCTGAATGAATACGCACTTTTATCAATTACTATACACATATTTGTTGATAGTCTTACTTTAGTCTTTACTTAATTGAAACTATTCGGGTGGGTATAATTTAACTTAAAAGTCGGGTGCAAAGATCCCTATCGCTTGGCCGAAATTTTGGAAACAAAATTTCTTAGTCAACTTTGGTTTGCAAATATTATTCTAACTAACATTACTTAAAAATTATTCAACGTTATTACAGTAAGATACACCGTAAGAACTTCATACATAATATTACTTCGTACATTAATATTAAATATAACAATATTGGTATAATTTAAGGATCAACAGGAATACCTATGAAGATCTTTGGAAAAATCAGAGAAAAATTTCTTTAAAAAAAATTACGTTAAAAGTACTGAGAAAATCGTAATTGCGATATTCGTAATCAGGAGAAACCTAAAGGATCGTATATAGAGCGTTTTTGTTGGAAAAAAAGATAAAATAAAAATTCGTTTTGATATCTCACTTGATCTACACTATAAGTATAATTGAGATCAGTGAGACAGATTAAGAATTTTGCCACTCCTAGGCACCAACATCTAATTGCCTCCAAGTGGCTTCATTAATTTATAAATTTGATAAAAAAGAAAATAAATTTAAAAAAAGGTTTTATATCCCTACATTAGTTGATGAAAACATTTAATAATCTAAATAATATAAATAATATAAATATATTTTTTTAACTATATATTTAAAATATTGTTTCTGATAAAATATGCTCGATAACTCATGCAAAAACGTTAGATTAATAAATTAAAAATTTATCTCAACTGTGTAAACATTTTCTGTCTTAAAAAATTTGCCGCCCTAGGCAAATGCTTTGTTTGCCTACACGTTAATCCGTCACTGGTTGAGGTGCAGATAATTTTATCTATTTATGTTTTAAAAATTAAATAAAATCCAGCTCTATACGCGCCTTCGTAGTTTCATAAAAAAAGAAACTGAAAAGATTTCATGACGTAATATTATTTTTAGAAAATAAAATATGAGCATAGAGATGTATGTGTCTCATTTTATTTATTATAATATTTTTAAGAATGAAATTGTAAAATCCCGCTCTTATCAGGCCTCGTTGCTTCATAAAACATAAGTAAAAAAAAAAAAACAAAATTTCATGACAAAATACTTCTTCTACGCTACAATATATACTAGAGTGTAAATATGTATCTATACATCACAAATGTATATAAGTTTACTTGTGTCGACCCTTAACGTTAATCAAATATTGTTATTCTAGAAATGTGATAAAATTGTAATTAAGTGCGTTGATTTTATTATAAAATTATAAATTATAATTCCTCTTTTTAGAGGAATATAATTTAGTAAAGTGCATCGAGAAAAATAAGTCATTGATTACCACTTTTATTGATCAGATAGGAATCCACCCGATTACCCAGTTAAAGTTAGATATTGGATATCGACGCTAGTTTAAAACTGTGTCGCATTGCTTCGTGATGAAAGATCTCACTACAAAACTTATTCTAGAATATATGAAGTTCGGTAATCGACGGTACAATCGGAGATTTATCGGATAAAATCTAGCAACAATAATGTTGAGACAAGAGTTTTTGCACCGTCGATTACGTTAAACGTTCTTGCTTTTTTTGCGTAGAAATATTTTACTATACAAATTAATCTATGCTGAGGCTATGCGTTTTTTTCGTTCTATGGCTTTCTTTGTGTCGTTTACTTCGACATTGGCTCACGAATGTACAGCCGCTAAAAAATGATATGAATTTTTTTTTCTTAAGCAGCTAGACCTGCATCCTTAGCCATACTGTAGAAAGAGCTAGATGGATTGCTAAGAAGCACTTCCGGAGAATCATATTCGACGATCAGACCTTTGTTCAATACGATTACCCTGAAACATTATTATTGTTTGAGAATAAGCTGAAATTAGAAAAGTTTTGAAAATAAAATATACTTAAAACAATTAAAAAAGAAATTCAATGAAAACTGGAATAATGAATAAATTCTCATAAATAGAAATATTGTAAAGTATCGTGTTTCACAAATAAAATAATATAATTATAGTATATATGTATAAATGCTCACGAAATACAATGTTAAAATAACTTGAAATATACCTGTCAGAATCTAAAATAGTGTTGAGTCTGTGGGCTATTGTGAGAACTGTACAATTCTTAAATTCTTGGCGAATGGTAGTCTGAATTAAATCATCCGTTTCTAAATCAACTGCAGCTGTTGCCTCATCCAGTATGAGAATTTTCGTTTTCCTAAGTAATGCTCTTGCTAAACAGATCAATTGTCGTTGTCCTACGCTTAAATTCTCTCCGCCTTCAGTAACCTCGTGTAAAAGACCGTTTGGCAAATCTGTAAAACAATAATAGATTATATCCTTTAAAAGTACAAGATTTTCTAATGAAAGGTTACGAAGACCGTTCATACTTTCTACAAATAATTTCAGATGAGCGTGCTCCAACGCCTTCCAAACTTCCTCGTCGTTGTAGCAATCGAAAGGATCCAGATTCATCCTTAGTGTTCCAGAGAATAATACGGGATCCTGAGGAATGATGGTTAATCTCGAGCGAAGGTCGTGAAGGCCCAGCTTGGAAATATCGATATCATCAATTAAAATCTTCCCCTGGGCTGCTTCAATTATTCTGAAAAGTGCCAATGTCATAGACGACTTTCCAGCACCGGTTCTGCCTACTATGCCGATCTTCTCGCCGCCGAGCACGCTGAACGTCAAACCGTTCAACACGAGATCCAATCCCTCCCTATAGCGAACTTTAAAGTCCTTGAAGTCAACGCGACCATGCTTAGGCCACTCTTTCGAAGGCGTAAATTCAGTGTTCTTCCACGGTGCTTCTTGCGCGGTCTCGCTATACTCTTTTATTCTCTCTACCGCGACGATGTTAGTCTCGACATCGGACGTCATGCGTACCAGCCAATTTAAGGTCTGGGTGATCTATAACAAACATAACATGAATTCTCATACATGAAATACATACATACATAGTTTTTTCATAAAGTATCAAATAAATATATAAACATCACCCGCGTGTAACAAATTACTTTTATTATCTTAACTTAACTTTATCACAGAGAGATATTCTATTTAACATGGTAGAAAATATCACATTGTATATAACGTTAAAATATCGTTTTGATGGAAAATATATCTTACTTGTAAGGCATAGCTGACCGATAGACCAACGAGACCTGAACTCATGGTATCTCTACCTAAAACAGTGAACAAAGCTGCGAAGAATATAATTAAGTTTCCAACCATTTCTAATCTCACGGCCAGCCATCTGCAACATTATGCGTTTCAGTTAATAAATACGTATAAAAGAAATTATAATTGCGTTATACAAATATTTACCTGTTTGCAATAATACTAGGAAAGTAACACACTTGATTAAAATCTACTCTATTTTCAGATTCATGGATAAATTGTTCTTGCACGCCGTACGCTCTAATTATTTGCGCACCTATATATAAATAATAGATTATTTTTAGAAATGTAAATTTTTGTTAATAAATAAAATATTACAGGATAATTATACGGTTTTAAATACGTACCAGTCACAGATTCACTAAAATGCGAATATATAGGAGATCTCGACACGGATTCTAATCGTTTTAATTGACGCGATGTTGCAACGTAAAAACGTTGAATAAAATAATAAATCGCGCCTATTGGCAGTATCACCGCGATAAATATAGGTGTACTGTAGCTTATAACAAAGAGAGTGGCTATCACCTGCAATGCATACAGCTATTAATAACACTGAAAAATAATCTACTTCATCATTAATCTTACAAGATAGAAAAATGTTAATATTATATGCAAATATAAATTAGTCAGAACAAGAAGAAACATCTGTGACAAAAAAATATATATAAATATATATAATAAATGCAAAATTGATCGAGCGAATCAGTTTCACAAGGATACATATAAAAAAGAAATTGATAATATCTCGTGCAGAAATTCTATTGAATGAAATGCTCTCATATCTTTTCCGGACAGCAGTACAAAAACAAAAACAAAGCTAGCGCTGGTCGTTTCATAGGTCCACCAACATGTAGTATGAATATGATTATCACATATATACATTAGACAAATACATATAAGCATTAGCGTCAAGGTATATTTAAGTCTCTCAAGGTATACTTAAGTCTCTTTTGGTCAAACTTGATACTGCTAAAATATCCTTTATTTCGGTACAGATAGAGTAAGTCATGGACTGCAGTCGTTTTACGAGAACGGACACAATTATATAATTATACTGGCAGACTCTATACATTTAATTGTGTTCCAAATGTATTCTCAAAACCAGTTTGCAAATCTACAGACGGGAATTATACCCATCCAAAATACAATAATATATCATACCACCATTATTCAGACACCTCTTAATAAATACAAATTATATCCTGACAATGATATCTAATCGCAGTTTAATCAAAGTTCTCCGGTGGAAAGTGATGGTATACGTGTGGAACTCAAACTGCGAGGTCGAGAAGATAAAGGAAAAGCAATAAGAAATTCCCAACTGGTATTCTCTCTCAGCACGCTACGAAAGAAATTACCTCAAACAAGCAATAGATGGTATCAGAAATTTGTGGGGGAAGAGATGTATCCAGGACGTCCACGTCTTTAGCAAACCTGGAGATAATACGACCAATAGGAGTCGTATCAAAGAAGGTCAATGGGGCACGCATCACAGCACGCAGCATCACTATGTGCATCTGGCGAGCAGCCAACCAACAACCCAGCTGCGGTGCCAAATCGCAGAAAAAGCTCGCCACCGCTACAACATCAGACATGGATGACTTTCATTGTAACCGCATCCGACATAATTTGCGCGATTTGTAAAAAAAAAAACAGAATGATAATGAACAAAAAAATTAACAAAAACTTATCTCATAAGCAATGTGTTGCACGTTAAACGAGACACGTGTTACACGTAACATACCTAGTTTTGATATTAGACTTAAACATTTATTTTTCTTTTCGTTACCGATACGTTTCCGAATTGCCAAATGATATCTGTAAACAATTAATTTTTTTCTTTTCTATCGTAGTACTGCTCGATATTTAAATGCATTCGGTGAATATCGCGAACTTAAAACTACCGTTCTGACGTCATGTTATGCGAAGATGTGAAGTTTGCTGTGTGCACACCAGACAGGATATATATAGCAACAGGAAATACAAATAAATCACACTTCCTAGAAGGCAAAATCGTTAGGTAGATGTTATACAAGCAATAGAATAAAAAGCGTTATCAAGCACAAGCAAGACCATTTCTGTACACTGAATATTACTGGTATAATTGTGTCCATTCCCTGAATGATTACTACACTATGGTTGCACTATGACTTATATACAATAGTCGTACAAATTATCACGATAGTCGTGAAGTAAATTAATAATAACGTTCTTAAACAAAAAAAAGTTTGTAACAACACAAAAAGACAGTAACTGGAAAAAAAAACATAATGTAAAGAGGATTCAATATAAATGTAAAAGGAGAACAATTGTAGAGTAAGTGAAGAATGATAATGATTTGACAAAGCCAAGTTCCATCTTGAGTGATATTAAAGTATTTTGCAAAAAATTAAGACAATCGTCATTTTTTAGCGCCTCCAACTCGTCGGATCTAAATACATACATTGACAATAAAACGAAAATGACGACAATGACGAAAATGAACATCGTCAACGTAATATCTTCTGAAAAGGACGAATAAAAGGATATCCTACCACATTATATTCTTGATTAAATTGACATACATCGTAATCAACACTCAATCCATGAATTTTATGATGCAATATGACTGAATGACACAATGTAAAATCCAGCACAAGTATTCCCATGAACCACATCACTCTTTCGTGACTCAAAATAAAATGAAAAAAATAAGCTGCTCAGCGAGCTATTTAACATGACAGAAAAGATATGATTCGTTGATATGACTTTGCATGTATCTTTTCAATTATATTTTCAGTTAAGTTCTAATAAATCGCCGGAATAAGAATTTATCGATCAATTTCGTACATCTTCTTTTTTATTATCCCATCAGTATTTTGTTTGCAAATAGCATATACTAAAAAAAAATAAATTAACAAAAACATATCTTTTGACAAATTTAGAAAAAAATTAAACTGAAGAAGAAAGCAGCCATTCAAAATGTGGCTGTTACCTGGCCAGCTGAATGCACAAAACGCACGGGTAAGCCGCTCGAATACTGTTCGAGCCAGGCAAGCAGTATCAAGGTAGATATTTCTTACCACATGTTTCTTCGTGTTCCTTTCAAAGCTTGTTGATCCACCATGCTGTACTGATTGCCGGCAACTTCTTACACGCATCAAGTTGCGTACCCGTGCCCATATACGCTTAGCCGGCAGGTTAGCACTACGTTATTTTTTACATTTCGCCATTTCTTCTAAAATTCTAAGCTTTATTATTATAAAATAATGCTACATTCAAATTTCCAATGAACAGATAGATCCGAATTCTGACAGAATGTACATTCCTATTAATAAAAATCCGCATCTTTTTTACTCTGTGTCTGTCGTAAATAAATATATTTCACTTTATGCGTCTTTATTCAAATATGCAAGATAATTACGTATAAATACGCGATTTTATCGATAGAAAGAAAAAAGACACTTTTTTTACTTCGCAATTATAAATTTCTAGTAATTCTGTAAAATCAACATCAATTAATATAAAAATTGATATATAAGTTACTAGAACGTAAATTACTTATCAGTACAATAGAAAGTAACAAAAATATTTCGTGCAAGATGTCAATTCCAAACAAATTTAAATATATTAAAAAAGAAGTGAGGATATCGATATCTGTAGCAAGTATCGTTCGACAAATAAGAGACGTAGTAATATTAAATCCACATCAACTGTCACAGAGATCATTACTTATACAGTAGTACGTAGTTATATGAGAATATCATACCGAAAAGAGGCAAGTGATCCAAGAACGCAGATAAACCGGTAGGATATTGTCAATAACATCAATATCTTTACCAAGCCGACTAAGAATTCGGCCAGTCGGAGTTCTGTCAAAGAATGACATTGGGTTGTGAAGAACGTGTTGCAGCGTACCCTCGAAGATACGCTTAGAAGCGATTATCGTCCCTTTAGCCAGGAATATCGCCATTGCAAATACTGTCACGCCTACAACGATCGGTAATCAACTTTGATTTATCGGATTAAAAAAATTAGACAGTTTTTACATATTAGATAGTTTTGCGTCCGTGAACTATCAAATATATTGAGCTTTTGCAAATGAGTGAATGATTAAAAGGCTCTACAATCGGCAATGTTCATTTTCATTAGTTGCTCATCACCTGATTTCATCTAAACACACCTAATTTCATATGCAAGTTCCTCACTGCAGTCACACATAAATTGAGGTGCACATAATTAAAAAAGCAAATGTAAGTACAAATAATAAATATGCGGAGAAAAAAATGGGAGCGCGATAATAACGCTAAGATAAGAAAAATAATAAAGATGATACTTTGTATGATTGTACAATGAGAAAGAAGACACCAGTGTCTCATCAGGAAAAAACATTGGTTTATTAATAACGTACGCTTCTAATAGTTGTCTACTGATCATTAATTTGAAGAATTTGAAGAAATTTGAATGAAATCATTAGAGAAAAACAGAAAGCTGTCATTATTACAAATATAATAAATCATATTTGTACCGATTGGTGGACCAGTAGTTCTGCTAAATATTGATTCGTGTAGTGATATACAGAGATTAAAACTAAAACTCTCTCGCATACCGATGCTAGATAAAACAACCAAGCTCTAATACTTGGAGGTAAAATGTTGTCTATCGTGTCAATATCCTTCCCAAAACGGTTTAATATTCTGCCGGACGGCGTAGTGTCAAAGAATCCTAAAGGTGATCGTAGCATGGTGAATAATAACTCGGAATGCAGTTTACTGCTCCGTAGGCAGCCAATAACCAACGCTGTCTGCGACAGCACTACAAAAGTGGCTGAAATTTAATTTAAAATAAATAAATAATTTTGTTGGACGAAAAAATTCTTTTTTCTCTCTCAACACTCGCTTGCAGTTCTACAAAAAAAATTTGTTGCTTTATGATTAAATTGACTTGCTAATGTACGTAATTACACACTGTTAAATTTCGATGCCACGAAAAACTGCCTTTAGGAGGTAACAATGTGTCTTTGTCAGTTTATTTGTAATATAACATGGCTGGCATTAATTATTAATAGTAACAATAAGTTAATAACAAAACAGAAAGCGAAACTGGTTAGATTGTTGTGACCCAAGATGAAGAAAAATCGCACATGCGATACTACAGCTCGCATTTTTATCATATATTTAGCATTAAATGTGATTGCAATCTCACGCATTTATGGCTCACATAAGCGTTGAAATATATTAAATCAGTATCGTTCCATTCTCAAATTAAATTTCATTAACTACGTTAATTATACTTTGCACATTACATAATCTGATCAAGGAATTCGACATTTAATGCTAAGCTTGTCAATATATTTTTAAATATAATAAAAATTCAAGCACAATACATTTCATCAATAAAAACTTTATAGCCAAATTAAAGAAACAAACATAATGATTGATAAAGGAATGTTTCAGATCTTCCTTCGTCTGAAACTTGCTTAAATTCCTCTAAATTAACATGTATTATTATTTTACATCCATTTCAATTTACACGCAATTATCTGATGAGAAAATCAGCACAATCATTTTCCGAAATTTTAAGTTATCAATTTTTATTTAGTTAAATAATTTTAGTTAAATGATTTTTATATTAATTAACATTAGTTAATTTTTATATTTATTAAGAGATTTATATTCGTTTTATAATGGTTTCAACTAAAATTTCCTAGACATATTAGATGTATAATTATATTGATTAATCAGTATAGCATAGACTGATTTTCCGTTCTTTTTTTGTTATTTTAAGATATTAATGCTAGAAAGCTTTCTTTTGTTTTTCTACTTCATGCTTACCATTAAACGTAAAAGCGTGTGCGTTATTTAAAAAATATTTTTATTTTCTATAATAAATTTTAAATATAAAATAATAGATGTCATTAATCCATCTGATTAACCCTCTGACAGATAGTCGAATAGAGTTAGTAAACAATACCAAACAAATTTTTAATGGATCACATCATGATCACAAAAGATCACAAGATCACAAAAAAATTACAAGAGAATTATATACAAATACACATAACATTCATTATAGTATCTTATATAAATATATATTATTTTTTCCATCTATTACTTTTTATTTATAATCGCCAAATTTTCGCTTGTAAAAAAGGTAATTATAATAAAGGTTAATAAATTATTTAATAAAAAATGCAAATTGTACTGAACAAAAGACATATCAAACAGAAAAATGTTTCATGCAATACTAAAAAAGCGATCATTTGTAGAAAATGATTACTACGACACTTGCAATCAAAAACATATGGCTACCAAAAAGTTTCAATCTCTAATTGCTTTTGAATGTTTAATTAGTAACGTTAGTATTTTGTAGACACAGCAAACCGCACTCAGTTTGATTTTTTTAAAAGAAAATTATTTTATTTATTCTTGGAATTAACGCGTATTTTATGTATATTCACAGACATAAACTCATTATCGGAATAAAAAGGTCACTACATTAATAGTTATTCATGAATTTTAAATTATTATTAATTCGGTTCAATATCGAGTTTTAGATATGAAAGAATTACGTTAAGATTAATCATACCCCAATGATGTGTAATTTGTGAGGGAACGTGCCTTTCAAATTACGATATGCTATGACGAGCAAAATAAAGTGCCATTGCCTGTTAACATTGTATTAAATGAAGTAATTGCCTTCTGCGATAGAAAAATGTATATTTATACACGTAGGCGACAGGAATAAGCTTACCTGATCATCCATCGTAAACGCGAAATTTTGTACAATACTAATCGAATCTATCTGACAACGGGCGAATGTTACAAGAATTAACAAAAACGTACCTTGACCAAAACCGAGCGCACCGTAAACCCCGAGGTACATGTCTCGCTTTGCTGTATCGAACGTGTTGTTTCCAACGACCTGATTATCATTCGACCATATACTGAGCCAAACGCTTGAGCCGATGCTGAACGATTGAAAGACCGCATTCATCACGATTGTCGATATTGATAGGAACCATCCAATGGATTTCAAGTAATGAGAATATACTTTCCATTTTACCTTGCAAAAGAATAACAAGATGCTTGAAAATAAAAGCACTTGCAACTTTTTGTCGTGAAAAGCGAATAATGAAGATGTATTGTCTTTTTAAAATTAGAAAAATTAAAACAGTGATCTCTTGTGCAACTTACGCTTCCAGTTTCGGCCTTCTCGACTTCTGTCAGCTTCTCCCCGATGTTGTTAGGCTTCGATGCATCTTTCTCTTTTGATACACTAACACTATTGCTATGCACATAATTCGCTGACTGTTGACTTTCTGTCGAGTATTGCCTATTGGTATACATATATTATTTCGAGTATATTAGTAGCGAGCATACTTGCATCACCTTTAATTAAATATCATATTTATGAGATTATACCTTGTTAGAGAACCATTAAGTGATTTTCTATCGGTCACAGAACCGGATTCACTTAGACTCTCAGATATTCTAGACCGTACTCGAGTTAACTTTTGCTGCAACTCGTCCGCTCCCATTGTTGATTCAAGTTGCTGTTTGATTTCACGTAAATCTGCTTCAGAACCGTCATCAACGTGCACTATTTCAAATTTGTCATGATTTTAAAATAATGATTTATCATTCATATAAAATATTAATAATGTTATAAAAATGAGAAGAAATTAAAAAAAAACTCGCACATGCACATACTCTTAACTATAGCACAAAATAAGAATTCAAACGAAAATTATGTAAATAAATTATTGGAATTGAACTAGAAATAGAATGTGGTATTAAAAACTAAAAATTAAAAATTTCATCCTAACACTCTAATGACAAAGGGAGGTTTCTTATGCAAGCATACAAAGTAGGAAAAGGAATTGTAATTACTTTTTCGCGGACTTACGATTTCCAACTTAAATCCAGGAAAAATGTAACAACAAATTTTATAATAAGTATATAAAAATATGTAGCAAGAATTTAATTGCATTTATAGATACCTTCTTGTAAGTGTTGCACTAAGAATTCGGCGAAAGCACCTTTCTTCTCCAACAATTGTTTGTAGGTTCCACTCTCCGTTATTTCACCATCTTTAAGAACAATAATGTTGTCGACCTCCGGCAGGTACGTGATGCTGTGAGTAACGAGTATTCTAGTTTTATTCTTCAACAGGCCGTTCGGACCTAACACTTTCTCAAAAATGTGTTTTCCTACGTGTGAATCCACCGCGCTCAGAGGATCGTCTAAGAAATAATTTTCGGAATCGTTATATACAGCTCTAGCTAAGGCTACTCTTTGCTTTTGACCGCCGGACAAATTTATGCCTTTCTCTCCGATTTCTGTTTGATCTCCCGCAGGCAGCATCTTAAAGTCCGGAGTCAACGCACACGCTTCAATCACACTATTATACACTGATTTGTTCAAGGCCTTTCCGAACAAAACGTTGTCCTGCAATGTGGCATTTTGTATCCACGCTTGTTGCGAGACATATGCAATTGACCCCTAAAAGAAATATTTAGTATCAATCTTCAAATCCCAATCTTTATCTATTTAATCTGAGAAATGTATAAAAATAAAACATATTATTCTTCATTTTTATCAACATTGAATTAAGAGTTACAATCTTAGTTTATATTTTCAGATAATAAAAGCATACATAATAAAATTTAGCATTCAAAATTAAATATTATATTATTAAGTTACATTATTAATTATTCTTAAATTTCTCAATAAGACTGCTCTATATAAATGCTCTATACAAATGGAACATATGAGATTTATTTTGCTGGTTTATTATTACGTTTGTTATAAAAAATATATAAGTTTTATTTCTATATTTCGTATTTCTAATTCGAAAAGAATTCTCACTTTTGTATTTACTTTTCCGCTTATTTTATCCATCTCACCAAGCAGAGCGGATAAAAGAGAACTCTTGCCTGATCCCACTGTACCAACTATTGCTACTAATTGACCTTGTTCTACATGCAAATTGATATTTCGTAGTATTGGTCTTTCGATTTCTTCACTATCCCAACAAAAGGTACCGTTCTCAATTACTAACGCGTGCGCTAAAAAATGTATAAACATTATTATTATATACATTATATATATTTATTATTATGTATATATTAAACGTATTTTAAAGAAAAAATTTTATACTCACGTTCCAATGGATCATGCTGTACATTGTTAGGATTCAGTTCTTCCATGTTCATAAATTTATTAATACGTTTTACAGAGACGTAAGCCTGTATACGAAATTATTATAAAATATAAAACATGAATAAAGATGAATAAACAAAAATAGCTCAATTATGTATATACATTAAACTTACTTGAACTATATTAGTAATCATCATAGGCAGCATAGACAGTGGAAATCTTAGAATGTTGAACAAACTGAGTGAAACGAAGGCAATTGTACTATTTAGGACATTCTTTTCGTCTATAAGTACGTAAGTTGTAAAAGATACCAAAGATACCTGCACATTTGCAAAAAAATAATATTTTTAAAAATACAAAAGATATTTTTGAATATAAGTAATCAAAAATCTCTCGGAAAAAAAATATTTATTGCTAAATCATTTTTTGTTATACTTTACAAAAAAAATTTTTGAAATCATGCAATAAAACTTTTAAAAAAATTATACTAAAAATTACAAGATTTTATTATAAAAAAAAATAAAAAATAAGAAAAAAGCTTTTGCATTACAAGTACTCCGTAAGATACTTACTCCGTAGAGTTGTCTAAGATTTTCAATTATAATATGAATTATAATGTTACTTCTTTTGTATGTGTTTGTATTGTATATAATTAATTATACTAAAAAACGTACCAAAAAGGGTGCGCACGACCATATAAAGCTCGTACCAGCATTAAGATATGCCGCTTCTTTCAATACTTGAATCTCTTTGACTCTGATTTTAAGTATCTGCTGCTCGAATGAAGGTTCCCACGCATAGAGCTTCAACACTTTGATACCGTTAAGTACTTCGTTCATTAATTTTACCCTCTCATCCTTGCTCTTCATCTGTCTGATTTGTAACGTCTTCACTTTGTTGGCAATCAATGCGTTCACAGGAATAAGAATAATCATAACTGCTAAACCTGCCAATACAGCTGGCCCCAGTATGTTCCAGAGAAAATATAAAGCTAGAACTATTTGCAGAGGTGCCGACCAGATCATGTTTATGTATGCAGTTAGATCCATGAATCTTTGAGCGTCTACGGACATTAAATTCACTATCTCGCCGAGTGTGGACTCTTTTCTCGCCGCGTTCGACATTCTCAATGCTTTACGATAAATTGCTGCGATTAGCGCGGTTCGTATACGCAATCCGACCAAAAACATGCGATGAAAATATTGGGATAGTACTAGCGTTTGAAGCATTGCCGTAAGTAAAAGCAGGACAGAATAAAAGTATCCTTTCCACATTGGCTCATCTCCTTCGATAAAACCAATCAGAAGCCTAAAAAATATGAAAAAAGAGATGTATTTTATAAAAATGCGTGACAAACAAGAATGATTAAATTTTGAAAACAATTTTGTAAAATTCATCGATTTATATTTTCTCTAAATTATAAAATAAAATTAGAGATAAAACTCAGGATGTATGTATACTTACTTCAATATTTGTGGACTAATAAAGGTCATAATATCTTGAATCAGTTTTAGAAATGCACCAAATATGAATGTTGCTCCGAAAGCTTTGCAGATAGGCGGTAAGATGGAGGCGACTTTCTTTTTCCGACTACTGTTAAAATCCACTTGTCCAGACGTTTGTCGGTATGATGCTTTTACACTTTCTACTCTATATGTATAAAGAACGTCTGTTATAAAGGTTTCTATTATTAGGTTGGATGACAAAAATAATCAAGACATGTTATACGACACATCCTACCTAAAGTATGTCCAAATCAGCCTTGTTAGCACAAGAAATGTATGAACATGTTAAAAAATACTTTGTCAGAAAACATTACACTAATACATTAATATTTATGATATATATTTTTAAAACATGCAAATAATATACTGTTAATTATAGCGCTGATAAGATAACATAGTAATATTCTAAAAGTGTATTATCACAAACAAACTGATTTTCAAAGAATTCTTAAAATAATAATTTTATAGATCAGCAAATTATAATTTTTAATATGTATGTTTAATACACATATTTTCTATCGAATATAAATATCTGCATAAATATTAATATAAATTCTATATTTTCCTATTATTAATATAAAATTATTTATCTTATATTTTTTCTCACAATTTTTCTCACAAATAAAAGCTTTAAAGAATCTTGGCTATAGTCATATTGATTATAAGTAATCTTGATTTGTACGAGAGATTCATTGATTAAACTTACTCGTCTGTCTTTCTCAAATTCTTATTCCAATATTTGTCAAATTTTGGCACAATCTCCGTAGCCATGTCTTCTGGATTCATAGACCATAAATCGGATGTCTCGAGCGGTTTTCGGAAACCTTTCCATGCTAACGAATCAAACCATGCGAAAATAATTCTCGAAGGAAAAGAAGAACTTTGCTCTGGACATGGCGATTCAACCTACAAGTGAACATATTTCACAATTATTTATCAAATTATTCATCAATTCTAAATCTTACAGTTGATGATAAAGTTTTATGTGTTTCTGTATCTTGTACATTATATGACTAATAACAGAAATATTACCGTAGGATATTCAGAAAATTTAGGCTCTGCATCGACCAGAAAATTAAGTACAAATAATATCACTACTATTGGATAGTAGATCATGTAAGACACCAGTGAGTATGTCGGCTCTGCCTAAAAATAAGTTATTTCTTCATGAATTGCACTATATTATGTAACACACAATCAGTATCTTTTTTGTAAAATATCATAACAGACTGATAACACGAGATAATATGCGTGATAAGAAATTGTAAAAATCCAATGCAGGAAGTAGTGCAATTTACAAATGTATCTAAATTGCTTTCTTTTACCAAGACGATAAAAATTTAACATACCCCTTTAATAAATTTGTTTACAAAGCTTCTATATTGGACGCATCCACATATCGCGAGGAAAAACCAAAACAGGAATAAAAGACCTGACGTCCGCATTCCATGTTTTCTATTATATTGCATCAAAGTCGATGCTAATGTCTGAAATAATTAGCAAATTTAGTTAAATGTTATATAGAAAATTTACATGACTAGTGTATGTGAATATGATTACTTTTTTCCCATTATAATGAAATCTTCATTCTCACTTTTATTTTATAAAAAAAAAAGCAAACTCAAATAATGAGAATATTATTAAAAAATGCAAATTAATGCAAAAATAATTTTAAAATCTATTTAAAAATCTATTAATATAAAAAATAATTTGTACTTACAAAGCTAACAATTTTTACTATAGGTGTGTAATAATCAACACTGTAGACCATACGAAAAGTACTTTCATGTATCGCCATTCCTAAGTCAACTATGGAAAGTAAAATTAATCCTACTGTAAGTACTTGCTTAGAAATAAATAACCACGTGTACGGGACGTTTCTTCTTTTACTATTTAATAGGTAATATGCTTCCATCGCTGAGAACGTCCATAAAAATATACATGGTACCCATACTAATATCGTCTTTTGGAAGCATTCTGTTAGATCTGGGTCGTTCGTGTACCATGTTAGATTAGCATCCTAAAACAGAAATTTCAACCGTGTTAAAAAATGTTAATCTTTATCGCAATACTTTAACTTTTTCTTTTGCTCTCTATTATGTGATGTCGTAAAGCTTACAAATTATAACAACAGATAATTTTAACAATAGATTTAACAACAATAGAGTCGATTTGTATCATTGTAGCAGAAATATTAATATATCAATTTTTTTCATTATAAGCATTTAAAAAAAGAAAAGATTTTTAATTTCAATAAAATAAATAGCTAATAATAAATCTATTTTTCAATTAACTTTTAGTGAAAAATTCAATAAAATTTTAATTTGTGACTAAGAAATATATTTTGAAAATTAGAAAGTTTGTAAATTATGAGGCTACTTTATTATGTAAAAATCGATATCAAACAGAATTAATCATCAAAGCCATAAGTGTACCACACAGAGCAATTTAATAAGAATAAGTGCATTAAGTATTCAATGCACGTGCATGTAACCTGATTCATCATTCCTTGTGAACAATATGAAAACATGAGTGCATCAAGTCGGATCCACTTGAAATAAGTTAATTAATTTAATTAGTTTAATTTTTTAATTTAAATCTAACAGAATTCTTTGAAATACAATAAATTAAAATGTTTCAAAGCTTTTTAAAGTTCAAGGCGACTAAACTTCGAATTACCTTAATCGACAATTAATTCTATCAATAGAATATAAAACATTTTTATTATTTTACATAATTCATTAATGATTTTTTCGTGTGTTAAACAATAAAATATTAATTCGTTCGTGTCAACAAAATAACACAGATATTATTGTTACAGATTATTATGGGTATTACTTGTTATAACCCAGATAATATGCATGCATTGCATAGATATTTAATTAATATCTTTTAGACATCTTTTAGATATCTTATGCAACATAAATGTTATCTAGGAAGTTAATCATCGATTGAGATAATCGGAGTTTGATCGATCATCCTTAAAGCAATATCGCATTTACGTCACCGATATCGACATAAGTTTACGAAATAAAAATAACGAAACAAAAATAACAAGACAAAGACGTGAAGAATCAGAATTCTAATAAGGAAATTCGAAGAGTCTTTTTCTTTTTATAAGCTCGATTTTTATAAACTCGTAATACATTGAACTCTAGATCAAAATAAGTGATACCTATTTTTTTATATACACTTTTAGGAGATGAAACATCCCTTTAAAAAAAATCAATTCTGTTCTTTATAGAAGCGAATATCGAAATAGAAAAAAAAATAGAAAAAAAAATGTTAGAAATAAAAATCGAATGATTTTAAAATACTCAATAATTGTAATTTAAAAAATTTTTATTTCTTATAAAATAAATTTTTTTTAATTTCTAATTCGTCAATCGAGATCTATGCATGATAATTATTTCGATAACTGAAATTGGAACACGCCTTCGAAATGCCCTGTAAACAGTATAGACGAATGAAAAAAAAAGGGGAAAGCCCGATGATATAAGTCGCTCCATTCGACGCATCGTCGTTCAGGAAATTAAACTATTACATAACAGTGATGTGCGGCAGGCGAGACAAGCAAGACAATGAATTCGCTATTCAATTATTCCAACGATCTTTTCCTCTTTCTATTTTCCTCTCGCATCGTTTGTTCCGCAGTTATCTTCTCGAAATATTCTATTCTCAATAAGGCATATTATGAAATTATTTGAAATGAATTCTAATCAAAATTATTCAATTACTTATTACCTACATTTTTATGGTGTTTTCTTGGAAAAACAAAATAATTCCAATTTCCACATTTCAGTTTCATAATAGTCTATTCAATTAAGCGTGATCGATTATTTTCGACACATCTTTCGTTTTATTGTAGTCCGAGAGATTATCGATATTTGTTATTTCACACATTCATTTTTTCCACAAACTTTTTATGCTCGTTTCTATTAATATAATTTTGGTCTCAATTCAATTAACTCTTCATCTTTTTGATATATAAATAGATTTAAAAGTAAATAAATAATTTAAAAATTATGTAAGTCAAATTAATCCTTGAAGAAAAATAAACTGCAAAAATTTTTTTTCACTGAACAAATTTTACATATAAGTTGCTTCCCTTTTGAGAGACACGGTCGTTTTATTTTTGAATGTTACTCTTTAAATTAATTTAAATAAAATCTCACTTCAAAGAATGAAAATTGAGTTAGTCATAAGAAAAAGTGGCTCAATTTTCAATCTTTAAAAGTGAAATTCTCTTCGGATTAAATATGATACGGATTTGTATATATGATTAAACTCATTATATTCAGATTAATTATCAAATTTAATTATTAGAATTAGATCGATTTCAGTTAAATAATTTAAATCCATTATGTTTGATATTTTTATTTGTTACTAAAGTCTTCGGAATTTTCTGCGACAATTTTTCAACTGATCAGCTGTTATCTTCAAAACTCATTGATACACGCATTCGTGGCTTTGTCTAGTTCTTATCAGTGCAAAGATTAGTTCTCGGTATTGCTGTATTTCATGTATTCTCCGAATAAAATTCAATAGAACACATCTCCCTATTCTCTCTATTCTCTCATACATTCCGACTTCTCTTGCACATTCGTTAGAATTTCGACATAATTATCCATAGATACTTTCCGGTACTTTAGCAATTGTCAAAACAGATTTACTCTAAAAATTTTAGAGCATATAAAAACAAGATAGAACGTTTGTGTCGACTGATCGTTTTTACTAAAGTAGATAAATTTTAATTTCGGTTCAACTTATTCTTCATCTTTTTCCAGTTCTAAGATTTAGAAAAAGATGAAGTTAGCTGAATGGATATTAAATGAACCGAGTTTGTAATTAAATTAAAGTCGAAAATTATTGACTTTTGTCAACAATTGAAGATTCTCAAATTACATTAGTCATGAAAGATATAATATTGTTTCAAGTGTTCTACACTCGCGTTCATCATCGCAGATTGTGCGAGCGCGATAATTATTGAGTTGTTTGTCGCATGCGTCTGATGCGCGTGTTTGCCTTTAATCTCACACACGCGGGAACCTAATTGATAACGAGTGCGAATGTCAAGTAATTTGCATAATTTACGGATGCGGCGCCCAGATTTACGCTCCGACCTCGCGCGAGCGCGACTTATTTCCGGAATTTCGATTTCGCTAAAATCGCGCAATCGAAGGTAATGACATTGCTTCATCACGTCGGCTCTATAATCGGAAAGCGTGTAACATGCGTACACGTGCACACAGACGCGTGCGTGTGTTGCGCGCAAGAAGGCACGAGGCGGTGAAGTGAGACGATTAAAGCGACAGTGATTTTTTCCCCCAGGAATGAAAACACTGTTCTCGCCTTGTTTGTATTTTTTACACTCAGCACCTTCGCTTTCTCTTTTTTCAACGCCTATCAAATATATATTTATCTTATTTCGAGTGCAAACATTTTGGGGGATTTCGAGTAACGCGGACAGACCTACTATTTCGCGTGAACATGAAACGCGAATTAGTTTAGAGGGTCAATCGTGCAATTTTTTCCCTAGGAAGCCATAAAAAGTGAAAATCTTTTGCACGTATGCGTGTATTTGTACGAATAAGAACACAAATGCCTTGCCATGCTTTTTCATGCCTTCTCATGCCTTCTTGCTCCTTCTATGCCTCCTCCGAAACTTGCAACTTTGAGTGGTAAGGCTTTATACTCCTCCACTGTACTTGCATACATACGTAAAAAATTTCACTTTTTACGTTTCCACTCTAGAGAAAAAATTACGTGATCGATACTCCGTTCGTGTTGCTTTTTGTATTCAGACTCCTCACTTTCTCTCTCTTCGACGTGTAAAATTTTCGAGGATTTCAAGCGACGCGAACAGACCTATGAAGGATAGAATGATGTTTGATTGTCTGTGGACGCTTTCTAGCAAAAGACACAGATGACATGGTGTAACACGATCATTATATCATTGTTTGCAGTGTTAACAAAGACGAAACGATTCCTGTGTCATGTTATACGGCCTAGTTTACACAGTGCGTTCAGTCAGCGACTTATACTCTACATCTAGTCTAAATTTGATCCAAACACAATAAACTGTTTACATCGTCGCGTCTTCATGTTTATTATAGGGTGTGAATTGTAGACTAACTGTCTCATACTGAAAAGCACGATGTGTCTCCTAAAAGGAAAGCAGCCTTCGACTCTCTTCGAAGGAGATTCACGCGGAATCGGAACTCGTCATTTTCGTTCTTCGCCCGCGGATCAATCGACGAGCTAAAGAGAAAGAAAAAGATTAGAGAGTCAGTTGAAGGATTACACGATCGCGCGAGAAACGTCACGTTTCTTAAAGAAAATCGTGGCTCAAGAAGGTCAAACGATTCCATCCTTACAAGACTGAGAGCGAGATCTTAAGATAATGGACCGATCAACGAGTTGTTCTTCGTGAGTCCCGAGATGAAAGTGTTTCCTGAATTCCTAACGCGAAGGAATCCGAGGAATCGGGAAACTCGAAGAGAGGAAAAGGACGAGAAAGAATCAAGAGCTCTCAAAGAGTTGAAGCTCTCCTTGCCTTTCCAACTCACCCAGAACTTGGTACCGCAGAACTGGTCCATGTCCATTCCGATTGTTTGATTCTGATCCATACTGACACATTTAAGATTCACCGGTGAGCAGGCTCTCGTGCGAAACTGAATCGTTCACAGCAGTACCGCATACAATATCGCACTTGACTGTCCTGACTGCAACCACGCACAAGTCACCGAGAGATCGACGAGGAATGCGACCAATCTTTCTCGCTCCAGGAATCGCACTGTCCCCGACTGTCCCTCCACCCTGCGACACGCACGACGGCGAGAACAGGCGAGACCGAGACAGGCAGACACGGGGAAATACACGAGGGCTACAGAGAGGAAGCCCACCATACAGCACACGCGGCACCCACAGCCGCTAACGAGCGAGTTATTCCAGGCGTGCCGTCGCCGTCACTGGTCGTCAGTATTCTGCAGTTCTGCGCTCTACCCAATCTGCACTCGACCCTCGTTTGCACTGCTCTCGAGAGTCTCGAGCTCTCTGAACTCTGAAGTTGACCGCGAGAGCCCAACAAGTATAGCCACCGTTACCCGCGGTAGTCACCGCGATTATACCTGATTGTGGGCCAGATTATGTATCGCGCTCAAGCTGGATCGAACATATACAAACGTATTCTGGCGACTCCGGTCTGTCCGGCCCGAGACAGTCTGAAGACAGTCTGGGAATATCACGTGAAAGTATCCGTGTATTCTCGTAAGATTACCCACTACCGTCACTATTGCTGTTCGCATATCATCGATGATAATCGACGGCGTAATGCCGGTGTCAGAAACGCGCGACCAATCACCGCGCATGTCGCGAATCGCGCGGGAAAATTGCTGACACTGCATCTCGCGACTACATTCACGTTGATCCGTCTGCGTTGCGGATCGGCCCCATTATTTCGATAGTCTTTTTTCTGCGAGACTTCTCGCGTAATAGAAATTACGGTCCACGTTTTTGACTCTCTCGTCGGAGTTTTGAATAAACTCAATGAGAGGTAATTTCAATTTCGAATTATATTCCTAATAAGACACTTTATCCGGGATACATCCTGGGGATGTCCTTTGAACGTCCCTTGAAGGGGATGTCTATGCTGTTAGAGAGAGATGGCTTGGTCTGATAAGAAAAAAAAATTTTATGTAATTCGCTGTCCGTGATTTAATCTTTTTTTTTCAGTACATTAAACAATGATTGATAAATTGATCAAATGATGTTAATAAATCTATTATATAATAGCAGAGTAGATATTGTATAATTATTAAAATGATTGGAATTTGACTCAGCAAAGAATGGATTGAGATGAATTGAAATGGATTCAGATTTTCAGAAATATTGATTCATGAATGTTAAATCCCTGAATGCTTTTCAATCCTGAAAGCATTTTTATTCATTTATAGGAATTACATGGAGCATACCTATCCTTTCAATCTATCCTTTCAATCTAAAAATAGTATTAACTTTTTCTGTGTGCATTGTGAATACTGTTCAAAATTTTGAATAGGAAATGCAGTTTTTCAATCCAATTGAATCTAATTGAATCCAATTGCATCCAATTGAATCCAATTAAATAAAAAAAGTATTCGCTATTTAAAATACGCATTCGGATAGAAAAAAATTTCAATCCATTTAAATCCATTCTCATTTGCTGGGCGTTCTCTGTTCCCTGTTCCTTTTATGCGGAGCCCCTAACTTTGTTCGAAACAAATCCTGTATCAACTGAGTTTGATACGTTGCTCCGCTATAAAGATTGATATCGAATGGAGGATTTTATCTAAGGGAGAGGGTGACTCTAATCTCCAACAAACGAGAGTGGATTGAAATTTTTTTCTTTCGAATACTTTCTTTTTATTCAATTGAATTGCAATTGGATTCAATTAGATTCAATTAGATTGAAAAAAACTGCATATTATTTTTAGATTGAAAAGCATAGAGATATGCTCCATGCAATTCCTATAAATGAATAAAAATGCATTCAGAATTGAAAAGCATTCATTTTAACATTCGTGATTCAATATTTCTGAAAATTTGAATCCATTTCAATTCATTTCAATTCATTCTTGTTTGCTGGGACCCACAGTTGAATGGAGATTGAACTCGGCGAACTTTATCACAAGAAACACGATAGTGTTTATTTTGCAGAGTTGTGCAAAACGATAAGCGTAACATTGCACGTAATGATGTAATAATGACGTTGCCACATGAATGGCATATAAACATCACCAGATTGATATTTATCGAACAAATTTGTCTAATTTTAGCATCAATATAAAGTTGACGATTGTATTACTTTCTAAAATTTAGAATAAATCTCCAATTTAATTACTATTGCTTCAGACTGAGAATTATAATAAAAATATATACTCTGGAAGAGAAACCAATTAATACTACAAATTATTTATCTTTAATATATTATTAAAAATGTTGAACAATTAATTTTAATATACAGAGTATTGGAAATAATTAATCACCACTTTCCAATATTAAATTTTTGTAGATGGCCTATATATTTAATTATTATAATTGTAGATTTATAATTCTTTCTCAAGTTCATTGTCTCTATAATGATAATAATTTTTTAATTATATTTTGAATTATTATATATAATTATATATTTTGGATATTTCCAAAAAAATTTGTCTCTCGTTAAACAAATGCACGCAATATTTCTCGATTTTGCTCCGCAAAGTCTAAAATCTAAAATTCTTTGAAAAAAAAAGTTTAAAGAATGTTCGCGAGAATTTTGTCTTGTTTATACGATCATGTAATAGCTCGATCAGACAAGTTAATTGATATCTTTTTTTTGCCCCTTCTACTTTCGAGTAGCGCAGACATTTGAAATTCACAACTCTCGTTGTGCAATATTTTATTTTTATACGAATCTTGCGGTAACAGAATGACTATCGGAAAGCACATTTATATAACCCATCGCGCGAATAAGAACCTTGAAGAATCATCCAGTCGCATATCTCGATTGTGTATAAACACGTACACAATACGATCTTAGAGATCTTTGTGTGCTATTAAGTACAAATTACTTGACACATACACGCGCGAAACATTTCTTTTCCACATGCGTGCCACCATAACGTCGTCATCACGTTCCGCCGTTTCTTACTTGTGAGAAACTTTAATGTCAATTGCAAAATATTCCCTAATAATTTATTTTCAAATAAATTATTATTACTTAGCAATATTAGTCTAATACATCTCCAATGTACAAACAATGTCTCGTCAATGAATTGCGCTGATTATCGCTTTTGACAAAAATGAAAATAATCATCAAAATTATAAGAATTGGAATCTCGTATAATTTTTCTAAATAGCACAGAAAATCCGAAAGTCCGAAAAAAATTTTTTCTTTTATTTCCCATTTAGGAAATGAATTCCTATTTCATTCCATTTTTGTTCTGAAAATATTTTCTGAGAGTTTCAATTAAAAGATTTCACTATTATGTCATAAGCTCTTTTTTAGATTCAAAAAGTATTCTTTTCTAATCTTTTTCTATTTCTTAATTCTATATAAAAATAAATCATATTTTCATTTTTATGGAAATTATATTTTTATTAAAAGTAATATTGTGTTATCCGGAAAGTTCGTGCCGATTTTGAAGAAAAATTGAAACGCAGAAGATTTAAATTTTTAATTTCATTTATTAAATTTAAATCTTTTGCGGCACGAACTTTCCGGACAACCCAATATACACAGTGAGTGCAAAATGTATTCGTACAGAGAAAATATTTTTTAAAAGAACTTTATTTTTAAAAAGTAAATATTATCGAACGAGAAATGAGTTGAATCAACATCGATACGATGATTTCAATATCAATTTGATATCGATTCGATATTTAATTGACGATCATTTCTTGCTGTGTAATGAACAATTTATTCATAAAAAATAAAATTGACTGTATGTTTCTTAAAATTATATATCAAAAAAAGATATGTATTAATTATAGAAAATACTATCTACTTTTACTCTCACATAATATAAATATATTATTTGTATATCTTTTCGAATTTTTTTTGAGTTCGTGTACAAATTATATTAATTCATAAAATAATTTAAAAACATAAATATTTTTCGCATTTAAATGGATTATAGTAGTACTATCGGGATGCAGAAATCAAATTTTAATATTCTGTGCTATATGCGAAAAACAAAGAAAAAGAAAGAACCACAACATATATCAGGATCATTATCATCTGAATTCAGCGAAATTATATATTATCGTTCCGTGACGAGTCGAAAATAATCTGCTGACATGGCACAGGTGGATGTAAACATACGAAATTAAATAGGAATCCATGTCCAACAATACAATACGGGGTACTAAACAGCTGACGTGTTGCTGACTTGTGTTGTCATCTTTAATTTCTTTATGATAAGGATGATAACGTTTATCGCTTGGAAAAATGTACCGCATCATTTAACATGGAAATCGACTATAAAAAATTTAACGTGAAAATCGACTATAAAAAAAATTTGTTGTTAACAACTGTTGTTGTGAATTGAAAATTTTAGAATATTGAAAATCGATATCAAACGATGTCGGCGAAACTGAAGCGGTGTGTCTTTTCTGATTAACCCAATTGGTTAATTCAATCGGCATTATTGTCTTCCGCAAATTCTTTCTAAAATTAGATAATTCACTGATCTTAATCTAATCTCCCATTTCATCTATTGGCTCATCTCATTTCATTTTATTGATAAATCATCCATATAACAAGATAGTACTTGATGTATATTTTATCATCGATTAAGTTAATTGGTGATTAATAAGATCTCTGCAAAATTATTTGCAAAATTTCTGGCCACAATTTATCGTTCCCAATCTAATTTTTTTTTCTATTACTAAATCAGAAATTAATAATTCTATCCGTACATTAACAGTATAAAATTACGTAAATATATTTGATAATAAATTATTATTGATTAAATTAAAACAAGCGAAATTAATTCACTATCACTAAAATTACTCGCAATAAAAGTTCTGTGTAATACTCTTTATTTCCAGTCTAATATTTCTTTCTATGTAAAATAGAGACTAAAGATTAATAACTTTGAGCAATAAATAATTTAACTCTCCCCGTTAATATTACAAATGTTATTTATTGATCTTTTTTCCTTTTAATGACACCTGATCTCCTTCATTGATTAGTTTCGTCAGAAACTTCAAAACATTTTTCTATGCATTTCGCGGCTTCTTTACAATTTGTTGATAAAACATAAATGCTTATATCGTTAGATCGGCGATTAACTTGTCAACAGAGATAAGAGTGACCGCTCACATCGGATAATTCGTCTATTTTTGTTACACTGCAAGGCAGATTAGCGCGAAATTACAATGTGAGCCAACTGATAATGAATTTCACAATGGAATCGAGCATTCCTACAAAAGCATATCAGTTAAGTGGACAATATATATATGATGCATCGCCTTTAGACAAGAAATAAACGCTGAATCACGTTATTAAATCCTCTCTTCCCGCTATCAATTTACTAAAGGTTTTAGTATAAGAATATAAATACGAATGGAAATAATTTTGAATTCAGGAAACTTTCATTAAGAAACACGATAATGTTCTCGGCTTTTCGCGCCGACAATTGTAACCGCGCAGAACAATTGTAACAATAATTCGTAATATTG